CCATCTTCATCTGCATAGAAATGAGTCTGACTGTGTTTGCAACTTCATCATTTGAAATATTACAGAAAAACTCACAAAACAGTGCACTTCCCCACAGATAGCTGGTCTGTGAGATAACTAACAGCACAAAACCAAAATGTCTTTGCTTCATATACATACGTATTTATATAGGTATATGTGTATATGTACATGTATATATATGTATTCATATATACATGTATTTATATATAATATATAGATATACCTTTTTGAGACAGGGTTTAGTTCTGTTGCCCAGGATGGAGTGCAGTGGCGCGATCTCAGCTCACTGTAACTTCTACTTCCCAAGCTCAAGCGATCCTTCCACTTCAGCCTCCCAAGTAGCTGGGACCACAGGCATGTGCCACCACACCCAGGTAATATTTGTATTTTTTGTAGAGACATGGTTTCACCATGTTTTCCAGGCTGGTCACACTCCTGGGCTCAAGCAATCTGATCTGCCCACCTTGGCCTCCCAAAGTGCTAAGATTACAGGCATGAGCCACCATGCCCGGCTGTATTACATATATGTTTACGATACATATTTTTTAAAAATCAGCGTCAATCATTTGGAAGTAACAATTGAAGGTTCTGATTTTTTTTTTTTTTTTTTTTTTTATGAAGTCTCACTCTGTTACCCAAGCTGGAGTATAGTGGTGTGATCTCAGCTCACTACAACCTCCACCTCCCGGGTTCAAGAAATTCTCCTGTCTCGGCCTCCTGAGTAGCTGGGATTACAGGCATCTGCCACCATGCCCAGCTAATTTTTGTATTTTTAGTAGAGATGCAGTTTCACCATGCTGGCTAGGCTGGTCTTGAACTGCTGACCTTAGGTAATCCACCCTCCTCAGCCTCCCAAAGTGCTGGGATTACAGGCGCAAGTCACTGTGCCCCGCCAATGTTCTGAATTTTTAAAAAATTAACCCTATATTCTAGGCCATTCCTTAGCTCTTTTCTTAAAATTCCAATATTTTGTTTGTACTATTCTGATTCCCTGAAAGTCTAAAGGGTGACAAACATGCCCTATGCTGAATAATCTTTTATTCTTTGATTCTGAACAATGCCCAGAAGAGGGTGCTCATAGAACAATCAGCCTTGCTTTAACCATGAAGCTAGGACACATCGTTTAGATCAAAGTTTGGTAACCCCAAAGCTGGCAAGTGTGTGGCCATTTTGCTTCTTGGATAAAACCATGGCTGCTATAAGTATCTGTGTACAACGTTGTCTTATTGCCTTTGCATTGTGAACAGTATGTTAAGCCTTGTGGTGTCCACTGTCTTAGGTAGAAGGAAGACTGGTCATTGGTGGTAGAAGAAAAGGAAGAGATGCTTAGAAAAGTAAAACGCTTATGTAGGAATCTCCCAGAAAATCCTCAATGCTAAAAATGCCTGTGCTAATTATCATTTGTTGCTTCTCATCTCCAAATCCAGCTTTCTTTGTCCTGTTTTGTGGTCTTGGAGCTAGACTGTGTAAACATTTATCCTCTGTCAATAGAAGGTGCTGGAGGGACACTGGAGGAAAAAGGGAACTCAGGTTGACTGTTGTGGCTTGAATCTGCTGTGCTCTCCCTTGCTAGTTCTTGTGGTGGGTAAGGGTCAGCACATAGGACATCTAGTGACCCACCCAATTAAGTTTCAGTGGCACCATTTGGGGGACTTCTCAGTGGGTGTCCCACCACTCTAGGCAGCTTCCCAGTGAAATCCCTCTGGCACCTCAGTGGACACCTCAGTGATGTTTGATGAGTCTTGCAGATGCCCAAATGGGTGGCATCCCAGGAGGTTGGACCAATGGTTCAGAAGTTTGGTTTCCTGCTGCCAGCCCTGGCCTGCAACATTTCAGGTAAATTCTCTGCAATTCAGTGGGCCACAGACTTCCTTTCAAAGGGGTCTGAATCAGCCCTAGGTGAGGGGAGGGCCCTCTTCCAGATTTGTTCCTTCCCTGGTACTCCTTCCTTGGGAACAGCCTTAGGGGTAGTGGCTGTTCTTTGTATGTTCTATTCCTGTGTTCATTATGGTTTCCTTTACCCTTAGTAGGCAATCCTCTGCCACTAGTTAATAATCATTTATATTAAACTTTCCCTGTGTGAATTACTGTGTGTCTTCTGTCTCCTAACTAGACACTAATAAAATGCCTTTTGCTCTTAGTAGCTATTTAAAAGAAAAAAATATGAAATTTAATTTTATTAGTTCAAGATTTTTCCTTAGAAGGGAAATAAATTATTTTTAATGTGATTACATAAATAAAGGGATTGCCCAAATGTGCAGTTTAGAGAGACTGTTTGCTTTCTTTGGCCACCTGGGAAGGATACTTCTCAACTCGGGCTCTATAGACCCTTCTGAGGAGACCCTGAGTCACTATGGCTATGAAACAAACCACCACAAACACAATGGTTAAAACAACCATCTTATGTCACTCTCACATGTCTGACGGAAGGACTTTCAAGTTGCATGACAAACGGCGAAGACACAGGGAAGGATGAAGAACTGGGTCCCAAAATGTCTCTACCACAGGGTCCACAGGCATTAATAACGGGTCTGTTAATTCAAACGATATTTTTAAAATTTTACTTTTCCATTTGGTGAGGAAATATATAGTGTAATCACTGTCACAGGACTTCAGTGCCTGCATTTGCATTTATGGTTCAGTTCTTGCCAAGGGATCACCTTAAATGAGTGTGCAGAGCTTAACCAGTAATGTAAAAAGAGGGTTAGGGATGACTGTGGGGTATGTGAGAGCTCTCTGTGCCTTGACTCCCCCGAACAGCCAACTCAGAAAACCTGGCTGTGGGAACCCTAAAGGCTGAGCTGGCCTCTGATCAGGGGAGACAGAAGAATAGAAATTAATCCAGGAGTTTACTGGAGAAGCTGAGAACCACGGAGTTATACAGAGGTAGAAAACAGCCAACTCCCACAGTTTTCAGTAGTAGGTTTGCTGCAGAAAACTGGTGGGCCATGAACCTGGAACCCTCCAGAGAAGGTACCATCAAATTTTGATCTCTGTGTAACACTGATTTCTGCTATAACCCATCCTGTTGTGGCAATGTATGTCTTGAGAAAAGGCTGAGCTGATGTAGTACAGAGGAGGGTTCAACTTGCTGCAGATTATTTGATGCAGGCATAGCCTAAGTTCAGGCCTATGCCAGAGAAAGATGACATATTTACTGATAATTACCTAACCTCCTGAGCACTAGGAGGGCAAGTTTAGGATCATTAGAGTTCTAACTAAACTGTGCAAGAATGTCCTTGAGGTGTGGCCACGTAACAAACAGTGCAATAACTATGAATGTTTTTACAGATTTTATGAGACATTATCATACCATAGCAGTGATTGTGTGTGTTTATATGTTTTAAATACATTTTTTGTTTTATAATAGTTTTAGGCCAAGGCAGGTGGATCCCTTGAGGTCAGGGGTTTGAGACCAGCCTGGCCAACATGGTGAAGCCCTGTCTCTACTAAAAA